CCAGTCCATCCCAGTCCATTCCCAGTCCCTCCCAGTCCATCCCAGTCCCTCCCAGTGCTCCCAGTTCACCCAGTTTCCGCAGGTTCCTGTTACTGGGCGGTTCCCGGGGTCACGTGACCGCCATGGATTGGAGCTCTCGGCGCCTCCTGAGCGAGTTCAACGTGATGGAACCAGTGCGGGACCTCTGGTGGGAACTGGGACAAACTGGGACGGACTGGGATAAACTGGGACAAACTGGGAATGGACTGGGAGCGAAATCGGGGAAAAAAATGGGAAAAAATGGAGTTTTTGGGGTCAAAATCGACGGGAAAATGGAGATTTGGGGATACTGGGATGGACTGGGAATGGACTGGGAGGGACTGGGAATGGACTGGGACAAACTGGGAGAGGCCGGGACAAACTGGGAGGGACTGGGAGTGAAATCGGGGGAAAAAACGAGGATTTTGGGATCAAAATCGATGGGAAAATGGAGATTTGGGGATACTGGGATGGACTGGGATAAACTGGGATGGACTGGGACAAAGTGGGATAAACTGGGAGGGACTGGGAGCGAAATCGGGGAAAAAAATGGGGAAAAAACAGGAAAAAAATGGAGTTTTTGGGGTCAAAATCGATGGGAAAATGGGGTTTGGGGATACTGGGAGGGACTGGGGAGGGACTGGGACAAACTGGGAGGGACTGGGAATGGACTGGGAGGGATTGGGATGGACTGGGATGGACTGGGAGCGAAATTAGGGGAAAAAAATGGGAAAAAACGGGAAAAAATGGAGTTTTTGGGGTGACAGTCGATGGGAAAATGGTGGAAAATGGGGATTTGGGATACTGGGATGGACTGGGATAAACTGGGAGGGACTGGGAGGAAAATTGGGAGGAAAAATGGGGAAAATATGGGGAAAAAATTGAGGTTTTGGGGTGAAAATCGATTGGAAAATGGGGATTTGGGGATACTGGGATGGACTGGGACGGACTGGGAGGGACTGGGAGGAACTGGGAGTGAAATCAGGGGAAAAAATGGAGGTTTTGGGGTCAACATCGATGGGAAAGTGGTGGAAAATGGGGCTTTGGGGATACTGGGGTGGACTGGGATAAACTGGGAATGGACTGGGAGGGACTGGGATAAACTGGGAGGGACTGGGATGGACTGGGAGTGAAATTGGGGCAAAAAACTGAGTTTTTGGGGTCAAAATCGCTGGGAAAATGGAGATTTGGGGATACTGGGAGGGACTGGGAATGGACTGGGATGGACTGGGAGCAAAATCGGGGCGAAAAACGGGAAAAAATAGGGGAGCAAATGGGGTTTGGGGATACTGGGATGGACTGGGAGGGACTGGGATGGATTGGGATAAACTGGGAGGGACTGGGAGCGAAATCGGGGAAAAAACTGAGTTTTTGGGGTGAAAATCGATGGGAAAATGGTGGAAAATGGGGATTTGGGATACTGGGATGGACTGGGAGGGACTGGGACAAACTGGGAGAGGCCGGTACAAACTGGGAGGGACTGGGAGTGAAATCGGGGGAAAAAACGGGGATTTTGGGATCAAAATCGA